TGCGGGCCTGGAGGCATGGCAAGATTTTTCTATTGACGTCTCCGAACTTCAGTTTTTGGTCATTCTGAGTTAATATACATGATTAGATTCGCGTAGTAAATGTGTATTCTACTGTTAATTTGAACTAAATGCAAACCAGTGCCTGGCAACCTCATTGGTCAAAACAGCTGAAAAATCCGCAATTCTGTCCAATCACCAAAATCATTTCTGGCACATTCGATTGTACAACACAGCTATTTACTCACCTATCGTGTGCGTAACAGGCACAAACTCAATGTCCACATTAGCAAAAGCGATTATATTTCGACCACCCTTCCAATTTCAAAACTTTCGATCTGCATGTAAAGGGAAAGATTTGATTTGCAGCAATAAAACTAGCATTCATTGGTAGCTGGGTTTTACATGGACTTGATATTTTGAGAAAAAAGAAGCTGCAGCAAACAGGGCTAGCAAGCGTGAGGAAATACGGTTCAATCGGTCTACTTGAATGCATTTTAAGTAGCTTTATTCGTTCAGAGATCGATGCTAACCGAATCTATATAACTTTTAACTTTGGTTATCCACGCTAGCACCGGGGAGCCTTAACAAAATTAATGCAGTCATTTCGTAAGTCAATACAGAAATAACCAGGAATATTATAAAAGAGATTCACCAATAATCCAAGATAATCTACAAGTATATGGTTTTAAACAATCGACAATTACTGAGGGGCTTTAATTTAATTTTTAGTTAACCACGAGAGCTATCAGAAAGTCAAAAATAAGCAGATTGTTTTTATAGTGTCTATCAGGCGCAAGTGTCGGTGTTGTATCAAAGAACTTGACATTTATTAACAACGTCCAGAAATGCATGGAGCCAAATCCACCACTACGTAAGGGTGCTTACTGTTTCGTAACAAGAAGCATCTGGCGCTGCGGCGACCTTTACGAAAATCTGCATCTTCCGCTGTCGCACTTTTCATGCGGACAAAAGAGCCAGAAAGCCACCTGTTTTTATACTGCATCAGGATAAATCCCGTTGGTACAAAAAATAAGTCTTTTTGGAAATCGTGACCGCCTTTGGCAAACGCCACGAGGCCTCCTGGGTGGTGCTATCTAGCATTATGACAGGTGTTTTTAAGCTTTGATGAACGTGGGCCTTATGTCCATTAAATAGCTTTGGTAGCAGATAAATTGCTCCATAACCTGCTGTGTGTGGATATAAATGTTGGCTTCAAACTAAGATGCATTTAGATTAAATGGGAAAATAGTCCTTTAAAGGAGAAAAAATCAATTACGATGTTTATTTTAGCCATGATATCGTAATATTTTAAAAAGATATATCTTGAAATTGAGTTTTGTGACTTCCTTACTCACAATGTTATTTGTATTACAATTTATTGCTGCCACAAATTAGATGAATAGCTAATCTTTTAACAGTACGCTTCTGGTATAAGACTATTTTGCCGCCAAAATCAAAGCAAATGCCTATAAGTTACAAGGTAAAGGATTGTAGCTACTAATTAATGGATTGACCTCCATGAAATGAAGTAGTCATTCAAGCACGGTAATTAATTTTGCAATATACTTGTTTTCTTTTAGATTTTTCTATCAGTCATTTTTTTTCAAAAAAACAGTCAATCTTTACGTGCGATTAGTTAATTCGATAACAGTTCTGTAATTTTTCAATGCCATAAACGTTTGTTAAATTGGCGTGCACTGCTATAGGATTTAATTTTAATTTTGACATGCGTATTCTGATTTCAGAATCCTTTGGCGATTGCTATATTCAGAATTTCGCAATCATTCTGGAATGCTATATTACTGTAAGTTTAACAGGCGAATTGCCATAAACATATTCGTATAATTTTTATTCAACAACCAGTTTGGCTATTGAATCAGGTAATGTCCGCGTGTTCTAAAGATCAATGCCCTCAAACAAAATAGCCGTTCACGTTAACAAATTATAACAAAATTATTAAAAAATGGCCTGAAATTTGTTTTTAGTAACCATACATAGAAAAATGTAGTTTCACAGAAATTACATTCAGTCCAATCTCAAGCGTAAACTAGGAATAATCTTTTGAGAAAAATCAGTGCCGGGAGCATGAAATGGCACCATGTTACAGATTCACTACCGTTAAAAACTAGTTTGTGCGATTATTGAATCTGACGTCAATAGGAAATACTTGTTCGGATTAATAATATTAACATGGTTTGATGTCCCAAACACATTATATAAAAAATGAAATCTTTCAAGCCAAATTTAAACACTTGTTTAAAAACAATATCATTTAGCAGGAGTGAGAGATTAAAATTGAAAACAGAATATAAGCCCTCAACCTGACGATTCTGCAGTGACAAGCGCCTTGACATTATTCTATTGTTTGGAATTTTTTTCTACTTTATTTTGTGGAACAGTTACTTATTACTAATCCCAAAAAAATAACATCACATTGTTAGCAAAAGACAGAGATTTAAACATTTAAAAAATAAATACTGGCAATATAGCAGTAAACAAATACAAGTACTTACATTTATCACATGTGTAACTTAAAAATACATTGTCAAAAGCCTGTGGAACTTTCAACTTAACAAGACAAAAATATAAAACCCAAAATTATATATTTACTAACCAACTACAGCAAAAAATATCCTTAATAAACCTTTGTGCGACTTAAAGGTCTTTAATAAAATTCTTCAAATAATATTTCCTGCGTTAAAATATTCGTGATTTTTAAACACACCTAACATAGTACAATTTCATCTTTTCAATAACAACAAAAATTGTCTCAAAATATATAGAAACAAACTCACTTAAAAAAATATTAATGTGCCAAACTGGTGAATTCACAAAAGGTATCCACATGGTCGCTTCAAGACTGTTGCGCATAATTGGATCAGCGTTATCCCCATTTATATTTGAAAGTGAGATCCAAATTTTTAGGGTTATGAACTGTACAATATGACCCAGTAAAACACAAATAAAGTTAGTTGGTTTTTTACATGTTTTATTATTCTGTGCACTCTATGCATTAAAAAAGCTTAACGTATAAAAAAATTAAAAATTGCAGTAGCTAATCAAAGGTGTTAATTGGTTTGCTCACAGATCTTTGAAAACAAGTACGCAAAAATTAAAAAGCATATATTTCAAAAAATTATATTTCAAAGTACTTAAAACAGCTTTTTTGCTTCTATCTGTTTGTCTTAAAAAACTAAAGGCTGGATAAAATTATCGAATTGTTAAAACGACATTAAAATCCACCATTGTTAACTAAATATGAATTAAGGTCTTTATGAAAACTAGATTTTTTAAAAAATATTTTAGTTGGAAGTCGCATTCTGGCCCATGTCGACTTTATCCAATTATCATCAATGTTGCTTTACGAATACTATCTTATACTACAGGTATCCTGTCATATTTTTTGACGTAATTTTTTAAGGATTTTGGTAAAGGCTTGATACTTGCACTTTTGAAAAAGAGTTTCTAAGCCTACAAAAAAATATGACTGCAAAATACCTGACTTTATTAAAATACATAAAATTTTTTATGCTATATAGCATGGCAACATGCAAATTTATATTTAATATAACTGACCTTAACCTGGTTATCATTGAATATGTTTACCGCCACCATAACCATCAAGCACAGTAACACTAATACTGTGTTTGTTTCTGCTTCTATAAAATATATGTGCTGCACGCGTGTCAGAATATTCTTGCTAACCCAATACATGAGCTAAAAATAAAAATTTTAGAGCTTTTTATAGCATGCCGCATGACTTAATCTTTTTTTCAAAAACGGCGCATTTTTTGGACAGCTTTAATAAATCAGTCTAATTTGCTTATCCTAAGTGACCTGTGCATTACATAATGTACACATTGAATATGAAAAATAAGACATAAACTGATTTTAGATTAATGAAAAACGTCAAATCTATCGCCATAGGATTACCTGGTGTTGCATCCTCCATGTGAAGAACCGTTAGAGCTAAATTAGTGATATTTCAAATTTGGATTTGAGATCTATGCCATTACGAAAAAAATTTTTTATAGTGATGAATACGAGATATTGCAAAGTAGGGCAAATTTTACCAAATTGCAGAATATTCCAGTAAGTGTTATAGTTTCGCAATTTACAGTTCTCAGGAGCGAATTTAGCCTTAAAATTATTTGAGCAAAAAAATATCACAGAAACCATCCATGGGCCTTGTGATTATGATTACTTTACCATTTGTAAGCCAGAAAGGCTGCTCTTAAATGCAGTACGGCTTTGTAAAGACCTATCTTTTGGTTTTCTTGATTTTCTTGAGTCTAATATTGTGGTATTAAACATGTCTATTCTTTTACAACAAAAATAAACTTAGAAAACCGCCTACTGCAGCAGCAGAAACATTGCTTATATAAAATCTTACTTCGCAAGAATTTCAAATAGCAATGCCTTTTTGACATTTCATAATGTTAGCCTTGTTAAATGAGTTATATCGATTGAAATATATATTCTTCAATCTCAATTTTTCTTGACAACATTTGATGTTCATTCATTATGAAAGCCAAAACATGTTCGTTTATGATGCGTTTTGTGGTTTTATTAGCATGAGTAATTTTGAGACGATTTAAAACTATTTATAATTTTCTTTTGTTATAATATCTGTACAAGACTGTGGTTCTTGGGAAAAAACGAAGGAACCAATCAAAACGTTAATCCATGAGGAAAGTGTGTACCAATGTCCGATACTTCGAATAATTCTGATGAGGAATTTTTTGAATGCACTGAACCTTTTCGTAGGATTTTTTAATTAATGAAACCGTTTAGCTTCGAAATTCTATGCAATTGCTGTTCCTCGGGCTTCTCCTGGGGCTGGACTCTTTTCTAACATAAACCATGCAAAAAAACAGCTTAAAAATGTCAAAGGCTCTCGTCTTAAAGCGTTTGATTCCATACAAGATGCGAGTAACTTTTCTGCTTGCCCCGTGTCAGATGTACCTGGATCTCAGTTTACTATCTCAGACGCCGAGGTGATGAAGTTTCCTAGCATTAAGCAAGTAGATCTGTTACGTCTGCGGAGGTATATCGAAGCTGATGACTTAGTGTCAATTGAAAAGTGCATCGCTGATAATCCTATGTGGCTTCTTACTAGTTATGATACTCCTACGATCCTACAGGTATTTTTATATATTTTACTTGTTTAATTTATTTGACGGATCACCGTTAAGTCGTTGTGTTTATCACATACGTTACTAGCTTCAGAAATTTTCAACAGCTCTCGTAACTAGTAAAAATGACTAGATAGCTCTTAATGTTTAGTCTCGTATGTCACTGTCACGTTACATTCGTCCTTCATGAAGGCCGATTTTTCATAAGCTATGAAACTTCAAAATATCATGTTCATATACCATGTCGTTTTTAGTAATGCTTTTATGTACTAAAATAATCCTAGCCCCATGACCTTTCTATTTACGTAAACGCGTAAAATAACGTTTTTATTTAGGGAATTTTTATTTTTGCTCTTTTCAGCTTGTATTTCGGTTTAACGCCGTCCATGTCGCTGCAAAATCGGGTCACGCAGAAGTGATAAAACTGATAATTTCTTACCTGGAGTCACCTGAATTTTGGGCCCGCATTTACCCCACTGCAGACGTTCATACCGCTAATGAACGTCGACGGCATGTTTTGGATCTATACCTTAACAGCCCTGAAACTGGCGTAAGTTTCTTGTAAAGGTTTTGTGCGACAAATGTCATTTACGTGGCTGAACTTCTGGTCAGTAGTATTCCGAATCAACTTATCCGGCCAGATTGCTACTGCTTATCCTTGATGCTCATTCTAAGACGTGTAAAATTATTGTCTCAAAATTCGGAAGTTTGGCCACTTGGTAAAACTCCTGTTACTTGTGTTTTCACCATCCATGAGTCTGCTTTTCTAAAAGCCTTCATTAAACCATTAAAGTGCTGTAAAAGCCAGGTTTTTTAAACATCGCCGAGACGTGAAATGAACTGTGCGTTTTATGGGCATATCAATTTTGTCAGTAAAATTCGTGTGCCCGTCAAGTGTTTTGTGGGCCTAATTCAATGCTCATTTGAAAACTGTTTAATCGTGTTTTATCACTTAACAAAATCTTCAAAGCGACGTTGATAATTTAACTTTGGAGTTAGACTATGCAGCTTGGCTTTGGGGATAATTGACTTAATTTACGTAGAGTATATTTAACGAAATGTAAATGGCTAACATTCAGTATCTATGACGTTGTTGTGGGCCCCAGCATGTGGTCTTGAACCACGCCGGGGCCACGGAATTAACTCTGGTCTGATTACGTTTTTCTGGTATCCATGATCAAGAAAAATACCTGAGAGGACGTCGCCACAACCGTTTACTTCACACCTCAGCCACGTTGGTGTCGTGTGGTGGGTTTGCGCGTGTGTATTTATACCTCGGATGTGTGAGTCATACATGTTCTAACATCGAGACCTACGTGTGAAGATAATCCACGGTAGATATTCGTGTAAATGAAGGGGGATTTGAGAATTCGCGCGGCTGGCGCCATGCTGCGAAAAAGGGGAATCCTGTGTCGGAGGTGGATCGACCGGATTAAGGGATGTGAATAAACACGATTCACAACAACGTCAAAAGAGAACCGTTCTTTTATGGCAGTGTCTAGGTCCGAGGGCTTTTAGGTTGCTGTCTTTCAAAGCACTGGTTATTATTTGTTACCTACCTTTTTCTAACCCTCTTTGTTAATAAGCACAAATGTGATTTGTTCCACTGCGGACGTCGAAAGTGTCCCACCACTTTCGTATTTCCGTATACATGGCCAAAATTAAATGACCCCGGATTCCTCTGAATTCCACAAGTAAACCTCTCCTAGACCCTTTATTTGTCGCTGTTCATTCCGTCGACAGAGTCTCTCTTCTCCCTTGCACCTGGCCAGTAAGTTTGGCCACGTGGAGTGCGTCCGCGTGCTCGCAAGTCACCCGGCAACCATGCTGGACCTGCGTGACTCCTCAGGGTCCACGGCTCTTGAGTCGGCGTGCATTCGTCTCGCCTCCACGTCCAGCCCCACAGAGAAGTCCCAGCGACGTCAGGCTATCTGCCGAGCCCTCGATGAAAGGTACACCTTGTCCTTCGTCTGAATGTCTGCATTTTTTTCTCTTTTCGACCAAAGTCTATTTGCAAGAGGCTCCTGTTTTACTAAACTAGGAATTGCCTTTTAGACGCTTTTATGCGTTTTTTTTTGTCAGAATTTGCAACTTTTTTGAATAATTAATGAGTCTTGTTAATCCTACTTGGTGAAATCCCATTTTGCTGGTCTCCTATGCGGGGCGTTTGTATTCCCCTTCCTACTTTACTTCTTGGAGCTTTTCCTCTCGCACTTGTTGCGCTTTAGATATATCAGTTGTTTGATGGGTTAGACTCGCCTATTGCCTTCATCTCTCAACTCCTTCCTGTGTCTTTGGAGTTCCCTGTTTGCTCAACCCGCGAAAGCAACAACAGCTTTTTATGTTGTTGTTTTTTTCACGTTGGTTTGTGCCAAACTCAATGATGTTTCACGTAATTAACGTCGAGTGCGACAGCTCTGCTATCCTCACCATGAGTTGTAAATTGAGGATTAGACTGTACCAGCTAGACTTATTTCACCGGACTTAGGTGGTTTGGTGCATTCCCAAATCCATCCTTCTCCCAAATCCATCCTTCTCTCCATCCATCCATCCTCCCAAATTCATCCTTCTCCAAATCCATCCTTCTCCGTCCTTCTCATCCTCCCAAATCCATCTTTCTCTCCATCCATCCATCCTCCCAATTCCATCCTTCTCCCAAATCCATCTTTCTCTTTATTCTACAAATCCACTTACTCGTTTTTACTCTGTGCAAACCTACATAACGAGGTTTTTCTACTTGGGAAAGAATGATCTTTTTAATCTTGCAAGATTCTCTCTCGTCATACACACTCATTTTCCTCCCAATCGCTACTCCTTTGATAGGTGGGTGATACGCTGCAGTGTATCTACAGAGGAGGGTCTTTGAGTATGGTACGGTGTGTGTGTATGTGTGTTCCATTTTAGTTTATGCTAATGCGGTCAGTGTCGCCGCTGCACGAATGCACTTTTTCGTGACTTCGCCAACGTCTAATGCCTGTCCGAATTCGCCCTACCCCTCTCTTGAATATCCCTCTCCCACCCGTTCCCCATCTTAGCCACACTTCTCAATGCCCTCCGCCCTTTCGACAGGTCTTATCTCCTCTCCCACTTGGGAATTTTACATTCGACCTTGTTTATGTTTGTCCCAATTGTTAAAAATAACTTCCCTCCACATGGTTTCCTAAAAACAGTCTCGCTTCTTGCATCTCCGTTTCCGTCTTTGCAGAATGCCAAAATAAAGAAGCTATGGGTAGACCCCCTTACCGAGTCACGAGTTTCTGGTTTTTTTTTAAATAAAACCTGGGTATACGAACAGGCAACCGTCTTTTAGTACACATGGTTGAAATTTCTGTTCTATTGTGACCTCGTTTCATTTAAAATTTTGTGGCTAAATAACATCTTGATGGAATTTGCGATAATATGCTGAGCCTTGATAATCTCGCCTCTTATCTCTAACAGTAAATTGTGAAAATTGCTTTCTGATAATCGATAACAGGAGATTCAAGAGCAAGTTGGTGTTAGTGCTTATCCTAGCCCCGTTCTAATGTGTGAATGCACCACCTTTAAAACTTGCACATTCGCAGTTAACGCACACACCCCAAAGTAGCTATCCAGTTAATGGGCTTGTGTGGGGCATCGTATTTTCACTCAAAATTGGATTTGTGGTGTCTTGTTCAGTGTAGGATGCCTTCGACCCATTTAATCGGTTATTTTGTGGAGGTCGTGGAAGATTATCCGTTTGCACTGCCTTTCCTCAATGTCTAGACAATGGCAATCAAACGTAGGGTGATTCAACAAAGTACTGCCCTGACTTCGCGAGTCCTTGTCAGTGAATTCATGGTTTGCTTCCAGTGAAAGTGCTGCTCTTCAAATCTGGCTTCTTGCCGTCGTTGTTTCAGGTACGTCGCTTTGGTGGACCGTTTGCTGCGCCCCGGCGACATCGAGACCCAGCCGACTATCCTGTCTCGACCCCTTATGGGACGCCAGCTGCATCAGCTGCTCGCCTCTACCAGTCAACTCACGTGTCCAGGAATCGCGGAGTTTAGTCCTCACCTGACTCACCAGATGAAGACCCAGCCGGCCCCCCTCCGCGTGCCCCCACTCAATTCGCCCGGCGTGCTGCCGTTTTCTCCCAGACAGGACCCTCTCGCCAAAGTGCGCTGTTCGTCGACTCTTCGTGGGACGTCTCCATCTGCCGACGGCAGCCACACTGAAGGTCAGCTGGACCTTCAGTGCTACGGAGCGATGGGCAGGCTGGCCAGTGTTCGAGCCATACTCGGTCCTTTGTGCACGGAAGAGGTAATTGGCACACGTTGTTATGCGGCTGTGTGATGTGCAGCGTAATTTCGAGTCAAAATTATCCGGCCTTCCTCTACAGTCATGAACGTGAATGTTGTTCCGTGGAGTTTACGCTAATCGAAGTAATACCGTGAAACCGTCTATCGGTAGACTGAATCTTTATTCTTCGTTTATGATATCTTCTAGAATGCCGTGTGTAAAGCAGGTCTTCACGCGTAAATCCCACTTTCACCCACAGGCGTGTTAAGTAATTAAGCGAATCCATCCTCAGCATCCCAATTTTCCCTCAAATCATGTTTAGATACGGGTGTAGCTTACACCTTCTAAGTACTTTGCACTTCAATTGGCCTCAGTTGTCGCTTACTTCGATTAATCGAGCTGTGTCGCGTCTGTTGGTGATTGTTTGTGTGTATTGCATTAATGACGCAGTGGCTTGCTGTGGCATTTCGCCAAATCAATTGCACCATCCCGGTATTTCTGATTTTCATCCGTCAAATCCAGCCTCATTATCCGCCCAGTTATTGGTGTAGGACTCGATGTTGGTGCTCACCTTCCAAACAGTGCCGCCACACTTTTGCCTCAAACCACTTCGCCTTGTTTTTATGTCTAATTTTAATACCACAAAAACCTTTCTCCCGCATCAGCCAATTAAATAGTTACCCTATTACGTGGACTTGCATCACAGCGTATCCATAATTTGAAATAGCTTGCCTCCACATTCCTTGTCCAAAGGTAAGTAACCAGACCTTGGGTAGAAGTAATGCCACTCTGCCCATTAGGCACATTGTAGCCGCAAACTTTTGGTTCACCATTGATGAAATCTCCCTGTAGAAGTTGGGCGGAGGTTTTGTCTGCGCTAAATCCACGTTCCACTTTTAGCATGTGAAGGTTGTATGCATTGGAAAAAACCGCAGTTTTTTGGCTTCCGGCATGGGTTTCAGCCATCTTGGAAGCTCCCGTTATTGATTGCTCTTCTATTTGGCCGTTGGTTTTCTTCCACGAAGAATGTGTCACGTAAAGGCTTTCTACCAAACCCGCCTCACTACCAACGTCTGCGTGTATTTTTAGTGATTTTCCACCACTTACTTGCATTTCGCACATCTGCGCTCTGTTTTAGTAGGTGAACGTGACGTTGTTTTTTTTTTGTTTTCCTAAGGCTCAACGAGCAATAGAACGTTGGCGCAAACCGCCGCATCCGTTTTGGGCAAAACTTCGTCTAATGGATTCTGAGAAGGGCTATGAAAGATATGGGCGGTTAGTTCCCTTACCCCAACCATATCTGGTTGCTTTGCTGTTATTTAAACCTGTTTAAACGTTTATTCGTTTAACTTGCATTAATTAGAAGCATTTATTACCATCTGTATCACTCATGATTTCGTGGTTCAATCTTGGATTGTTTACTTGATGCACTTTGCGGTTTGTAAATTCTAACCCCTCTTTTATTTTACGTAGGCGGCTAGCAGTTGAATTCGCCACTAAGTGGACCGAGAACTGGGGATTCCTGGATGATTTTGCGGACTTGCGGTCGCAATATGGTCTCCGCATACTCAATGACTATCTCTCCCAGTTCTACAACACTGATGCTGTGGAGAGAGCGCCGTTTTCCCCTTGCAGCCCTGGCTCGCTTCCTCGTCGTAAACTCACCTTTGAAACGGAAGTCCAAGTGCAGCAAAATAGCCCCAAAACAACCCCCATTAAACGCATTAGGCACGGAGAAGGTAAGGAGGCAGTGACAGCAACCAGGGGCTATGAAGTATGGACAGAATACAGAGAAGATAATAATCCAGTGCGTGTACTCGGGGATAGTTTGGAAGAGACTTCTTCGTCCTCTTCTGGGAATTCATCAATGGTTGACAGTGAAAGGTATCTTAATGACTGTGCTATGCTACTCTACCCAAGCATTTAATTTTCGCTCACGGTGTGTGCAATCACGGCCAGATTTTTGCTGCATCTTTGACTTACTGATTTGGCCATTGCAGCTGACGTAGGGCACGAGATAATCACTATGGGCTAAGCAGCTTAAGATACAACATCCACATTTTGACTACCTAATTACTTAGTTAATGTGACTTCGTGTTGATTAATGGTCCTTAAGCGCCACTCTGTCCAATTTCTAATGTTCCTTACGACAGCGCTTAACTTGCCCGCTTTTTGGTAGTTTGCGAGAACTCCAGTAATCCTAGCCGAACCAATTAGGTACCTACCCTTCCAATAAAGTTGTAACTTAGACACCCTGTGATACGTATTACCAATCAGTTTGTGCCTTGCATGTATTGTAGAGCGCCCCCGACCCCAAAGCAGATGTCCCCAGTGATCGGAATACTGAACAGCCTTATCGTCTCTTCCCCCTTCCGCATTATCTTGCCTGACACTTGTGGCACCAGCAACCCCATACTTTCAAGGCCAGAAAGACGCGTTTCGATGTTCTCGAGGAATGATGCTGTGTGTACACCTGAGCAGCAACAACCAAGAAAATCGCCTGGTCGTTCCCCTGCCGAAGCAACCAAGCTAACATCAACAGCAAAACACAAGTCAAAATCCATCACACGTAGGCGAGTCGTGGACGGAATGTGGCCGAGCCTAATAGGACACTTTAACCCGGATGAATTCAGCACGTCGCATCTTCAGGCCTCAATAACACCCGCTGAATTAGGCGCCCACAACGCCCTCGGCAGTGATCTCGGTTATAAACAAGATGAAACAGCAAGTCGTGTGGACCTTGAACAGTTCCCCTTCGTGAAGCGGTGGAAGATGGAACTTGATCTTTCTATGCATGCTGTCTAGATCCCAAATTTACGGGAATGTATATATATGTACTTATATTTTTACATGTATATTTTATTGTAACAACCTTGAGAATGCAAAACTGAAATGAATTATGAATCCTTCATAATTTTGCAAAAAGATTTTTAAGTTTACATGCCACGCCAAATTAAAGAAAAATAACAGAGTCCTGTGAAGCTTCCTCATCTCTCCTGTAGAGTTGGGTGTGTTGAGA